CCAATGGCCTTTTGGAACCAGCAGCTGGCCCATTGGCATCATCAAAAAGTGCTTCTTGGCCTTCCTCTTGGGGCACATTGCCTTGGTACTGGTCATTCCTGGCTTGGATCAATCCTTTCAGTGTGGTGGAAGAGGACAAGCTGGCATTCTTGGCAACTTTGCCTCCATGGATGAATTGGACTATGGGGAAGCTAGTTGGCCTCAGCTTGAGGTATTGGTGGCCATCAAATTGGATGATCAGGTCTTTGGGCAAGCAGATGGGCTTCTCATCCTGGAATTTGAGCCCCACCCTGCTGCTGATCTCTACCATGGCGCAGGTGTGGAACAAATATAGTGGTGCAGCTGGGTGCTGGCACTTTGGGCTGGTTTTGAAACATTGAAATGGCAGCCATATCAAAAATATATGCACATGCAAAAGAATGGGCAGCCATCAGTGGCTTTGAGACACAAGATCCAAGCTTGGATGGCCAGGTGGCCCTTGCACAGCATACATATCACCAATTGGATTTTGCACAGAAAAAAATCAAATTTTTGTCTGCCAACTTGGTGTGGGTCATTTTCAATGTGGTCACCACCCTATATTCATGTGTTGGCCAAATGAATTTTGATTTCCAAATTTTGAAAAATAAAAATAGGTATGTTGATACATTTTCCTTGTAAACTATATACTTAAATATGATACTGGATCAGAACAAAAAAGGCCCCAAAGTTATAGAGAGTTAGCAGAGTTAACTAGAGATAGCTAAAAAAGTAACTTTAATAGCAACATATGTTAATTATACTTAAATTTTAACCTTTGATATACATAGTTAAGACATTGTTAGCACATAGTTCACATATAGATAACACATAGTTAACAAAAGATGCTAACCCATGGTAACTGAGCTAACTCCTTATAACAAAGCCAGGAATGTAAGTAGCAGCAGGAGCAGCAGCAGCAGCAGGCCCAGCAGCTGCAATCGCTTTGTTCTTAACAGAATCCAGAAGGATCCAGAAGGGACGTCAAGCCTCCGGGCAGCATGTTTTTTGGAGGTCGTTCCGTCCTTCAGTAGCATGGTGTTTCGGTGTGGCGAAGGGTGCGTTTTGGAGGCTTGCAGCACCAGCTCCAGCAGCACCACTAGCAGCAGCAGCAGGAGCAGCAGCAGCAGCAGCAGGCCCAGCAGCTGCAATCGCTTTGTTCTTAACAGAATCCAGAAGGATCCAGAAGGGACGTCAAGCCTCGGGGCAGCATGTTTTTAGAGGTCGTTCCGTCCTTCAGTAGCATGGTGTTTCGGTGTGGTGAGGGGTACGTTTTGGAGGCTTGCAGCATCACCTCTAGCAGCAGCAGGAGCAGCAGCAGCAGCAGCAGGCCCAGCCAGCAGCTGCAATCACTTTGTTCTTAACAGAATCCAGAAGGGACGTCAAGCCTCCGGGCAGCATGTTTTTTGGAGGTCGTTCCGTCCTTCAGTAGCATGGTGTTTCGGTGTGGCGAAGGGTGCGTTTTGGAGGCTTGCAGCACCAGCTCCAGCAGCACCACTAGCAGCAGCAGCAGCAGGAGCAGCAGCAGCAGCAGCACCAGCAGCAGCAGCAGCAGGCCCAGCAGCTGAGCTCGCTTTGTTCTTAACAGAATCCAGAAGGGACGTCAAGCCTCCGGGCAGCATGTTTTTTTGGAGGTCGTTCCGTCCTTCAGTAGCATGGTGTTTCGGTGTGGCGAAGGGTGCGTTTTGGAGGCTTGCAGCACCAGCTCCAGCAGCACCACTAGCAGCAGCAGCAGCAGCAGGAGCAGCAGCAGCAGCAGCAGGCCCAGCAGCTGAACGCGCTTTGTTTTTACCAGAATCCAAAAGGGACGTCAAGCCTCCGGGCAGCATGTTTTTGGAGGTCGTTCCGTCCTTCAGTAGCATGGTGTTTCGGTGTGGCGAAGGGTGCGTTTTGGAGGCTTGCAGCACCACCTCCAGCAGTACCACCCGCAGCATGCAGCAGGAGCAGCAGCAGCAGCAGCAGCAGGCCCAGCAGCTGCAATCGCTTTGGTTGTTCTTAACAGAATCCAGAAGGGGATCCAGAAGGGACGTCAAGCCTCGGGGCAGCATGTTTTTAGAGGTCGTTCCGTCCTTCAGTAGCATGGTGTTTCGGTGTGGTGAGGGGTACGTTTTGGAGGCTTGCAGCATCACCTCTAGCAGCAGCAGGAGCAGCAGCAGCAGCAGCAGGCCCAGCCAGCAGCTGCAATCACTTTGTTCTTAACAGAATCCAGAAGGGACGTCAAGCCTCCGGGCAGCATGTTTTTTGGAGGTCGTTCCGTCCTTCAGTAGCATGGTGTTTCGGTGTGGCGAAGGGTGCGTTTTGGAGGCTTGCAGCACCAGCTCTAGCAGCAGCAGCAGCAGGAGCAGCAGCAGCAGCAGCACCAGCAGCAGCAGCAGCAGGCCCAGCAGCTGAGCTCGCTTTGTTCTTAACAGAATCCAGAAGGGACGTCAAGCCTCCGGGCAGCATGTTTTTTTGGAGGTCGTTCCGTCCTTCAGTAGCATGGTGTTTCGGTGTGGCGAAGGGTGCGTTTTGGAGGCTTGCAGCACCAGCTCCAGCAGCACCACTAGCAGCAGCAGCAGCAGCAGGAGCAGCAGCAGCAGCAGCAGGCCCAGCAGCTGAACGCGCTTTGTTTTTACCAGAATCCAAAAGGGACGTCAAGCCTCCGGGCAGCATGTTTTTGGAGGTCGTTCCGTCCTTCAGTAGCATGGTGTTTCGGTGTGGCGAAGAGTGCGTTTTGGAGGCTTGCAGCACCACCTCCAGCAGCACCAACAGCAGCAGCAGCAGGAGCAGCAGCAGCAGCAGCAGGCCCAGCAGCTGCAATCGCTTTGTTCTTAACAGAATCCAGAAGGATCCAGAAGGGACGTCAAGCCTCCGGGCAGCATGTTTTTTGGAGGTCGTTCCGTCCTTCAGTAGCATGGTGTTTCGGTGTGGCGAAGGGTGCGTTTTGGAGGCTTGCAGCACCAGCTCCAGCAGCACCACTAGCAGCAGCAGCAGGAGCAGCAGCAGCAGCAGGCCCAGCAGCTGCAATCGCTTTGTTCTTAACAGAATCCAGAAGGATCCAGAAGGGACGTCAAGCCTCCGGGCAGCATGTTTTTTGGAGGTCGTTCCGTCCTTCAGTAGCATGGTGTTGCGGTGTGGCGAAGGGTGCGTTTTGGAGGCTTGCAGCACCAGCTCCAGCAGCACCACCAGCAGCAGCAGCAGGAGCAGCAGCAGCAGCAGGCCCAGCAGCTGCAATCGCTTTGTTCTTAACAGAATCCAGAAGGATCCAGAAGGGACGTCAAGCCTCGGGGCAGCATGTTTTTAGAGGTCGTTCCGTCCTTCAGTAGCATGGTGTTTCGGTGTGGTGAGGGGTACGTTTTGGAAGCCTGCAGCACCAGCGCAGCAGCGGCAGCAGCAGCAGCAGGCCCAGCAGCTAAACTCGCCTTGTTTTTACCAGAATCCAGAAGGGACGTCAAGCCTCGGGACAGCATGTTTTTGGAGGCCGTTCCGTCCTTCAGGGCCATGGTGTTTTGCTGTTAGGCATTGGTCCGTAAGTATATAATGATCTATATATACGTAATATAACGCTATATGTATGTATCTGTATATATTTGTATAATATTGTTAGAGATCACAAATAGCACGGGAGGTGGTCAACGTCAGGAAATTTGGGAATTCGAGGAACTGACGGTTCGCGAGCTGGAGAAGGGTGCTGTGGAGGTGTGCTCCCAAGAGATTGTCCAAAATGGGTTTGTCTCACACACCTTAAGCTAGGGCACCCCCAAATCCCATGCTTTATATGGTTTATCATCATTGAAACTGTGATTGGACACACTGAAAGTAATCGCCATACATTTTTGGACAACCTGTTCTCAGGTACTTTGGCCGAGGTTCCAAGTTTTGGAAGGTTGGACGCCGCAAAATTCTACATTCTGCGGCATTGGCCTTGATGCCTTGACTCTTTGGGACGTTTGGGAGGCCTTACTCAAATCATCTACGAGGCAGCTCATTTTGATGGAAACATATCCAAAAACTGGCGCTGGTTGAGCGAATGATCTGCAATGCAGGTAGCTGCGACCTGCACATGCTACCCTGAGGACAAAATGTGGTACATGTCAGCATCTCCGCATCTCCAAAGTATGAAAACAGTAAGCCTTGCTGTACTTAGTTGCGTGAATTTCTTCAAATGCAAATGTTTGAAAACAATCTCTTGCAAAAATTTTTCAATCACATAGTATGCGCACAAGTCCCTTGACTGCCTTTGAAGTATACACATTTGTTTGTTTTTGGCATTCTTATATGGCAAAACCACCAATCGTATTGCATTTTGTTTGCAGATGTTCTCCCAGAGTTTTCGATGCTTTCCGCAAACTTGGAATGTTACAGTCCTACAATGGGATTAACACGTGAGCAGAACTCTAGATGATCAGGAGAACATGAAGTTGATCGTATCGGAAACCCAAGCTCTTGCCAACAGCGAGTCTGATGGTCTGGCTCCAAGTCTGATGGTCTGGCTCCAAAGAAGAAACAGAGCGGTCTCAATGGTTCCACCATGTTCCACTGGAAGAATGCAATGAATTTACTCCAAGGACTTTGTCGAACGGTTTTCACACGGCTGGTACCTGACACGGAGTATGTTGCGTCCCGAGTTTTTCCTCAAGACTCAAGAATAGTATTTTATATTTTTTTTGTCAACTGTACATTCAGTTGAACCTTTGTTGAACCTTCGAGCCTTTCCCAGGAATTTGTCGTCAGAGGAGTTTACCCAAACCTTTGCAGATATGTCCAAGAGGAGATGGTTGGGCAAATGCTGACATGCTGACTAGTGATGAAGCTGTCAAATGCCGCTCGAAAGCAGTTGTTTTAGGGCCCAAAGCCCCTGGTTGAGATCACAGTGATTGACGAGACTTTCAACACTATGCTTTCAAGATCTGCAATTTCACTGAAAAGGAAGACTCTCACAGAAGCATAATGCAATTCAGTTGGCAACATATCAACAGGCATTTTGAACCTGGAAATCCCCAGCGGAGTTTGGCATGAAACTTGTCGGTGGCTGTCGAATGCCAGTGCACGGGTTCATGCCTCAGCTGGTGATTGGATGCCAAATTGTTGGAACGTGTTGTTTAATTGTGAGGGTAGCTTTTCCATATCGATTAGCTTCTTGGCGGGCAACTCACTTGGCTGATCAGCCAGGGTTCATTCATGTAGGGTGGACAGGACCAATTCTGCTGGAAACCATGGTTTTTCCAATGAAATATTGCGGTTCCTAATGATTCCTGCAAACTTTCCATTCAACCAGTCTGGCACCAGTCTTGGGATTGAGATTGACACTGGTTCCTGTTCTTCCGGGCTAAGGTCAAGTCCATGCTGCTCGCTGCCAGACGGGTTTCTGCATTTCGCCGAAGGGCTTTGTTTAGACAGACACGCAGTGCAGGCACTGTAGCACTGCCAGGATTTCTCAGATTCTGTGAATGTTTTTGGATGGTTCATGATTTTACAGAGTGTTTTTTTTGATTTTGCACGCAGTGATGTCACAGTGATGTGTTCAAGGAAAGCAATGGAAAGGGATGGAACGGGAGGAAAGGGAGAGACTCGATCGATGCATCTTTTACTGGTGATATCTGGTGATCCTTGTGTTTGAGATTTCACCTTGGCAGGGACATCCAGCGATAGGTTCGTGTACATTGCCAGGGAGAGGCGGGGCAAACACTTAGCTTTCACAGGAGCCACACGGATCATGCAACTCCTAGAGGCTTGAGGAACTGCTTGATGCAGAAGTGGGCTACTTGAGCAAAGTCCCTATACATCCCTTTACTTTGCAGAGCTCTCAGTCCAGAAATTTGGTTTTGTCAGTATTTGTCACTACCACGATCTTATCATGGAACATGATTTTTCCTGAGGCAAGAAGTTCTGGGTCTAGGGTCTGCTGAGAGCTGCTCGGCTTGCCATGGCTTGCCCAAACGCAGACAAACTGTGCTTTCTGTTCACCTATGTTCACCTGCTTATCAACAAATACTATCAGCTACGTTGCTGAGGTTTGGCTGCCTGCATTTTAAACGACGTCCCGAAACGTTTCGCAGTACGAATCCGAATGATTGAAAGCTTAGGAGGCCGGCGCTGCCATCAACCTGTGTGGTCACAAGAGAACCTGTAGCAGCTTTCATCAGCACATAACCAGGATGGGACCACATTGAGGAGCTCAACAAGCTCCATTCCAGGATGAAAACATGGTGACTTGCTTAGCATTGGTGACACATGGTGACATCTATTGACAAGTTTGGCGGTTTTGTGTCTCTTCCTTGACTTGAGGTATCGGCGATTGCGGCTTATTGATCCTCAGAACGTGGATCTGCAGCACCTAACAGACCCTCGATGTGATTGCGCGATTGTAGGCTGATGCCTCGGGATTTGGCAAGTTTTGTTGTCAGCTGCGACCAAGGAGACGACTCGGGCGATCCGTCAAGAAGGGAGTTCGACTGCAGCTGCCTTGACTGGATTCAATATGATTCGATCCATTCTCTCAGGATCTCTCAGGTATGGGCTCTGAACGGCTGCATTATCTCTTGTTCACAATCAGTTGAGAACGTAATTCCATCATCCAGGTCGGACTTGTTGCTTTGGGTCGCCTACTTAGTGCCTTCAACTTCTGTAGGATTCAAGTGCTTTCACCTCACGTAGTTTGCTGATACCCCTTGCAACCTGAGGAATTTACAAACTACAACGAGCCAATGGCCAGTACACCGACGACGATCTCAACCATTTCCTTGATGGTTTCTTGCTTTCCCGCATAGGGAGCAACATGCTCCTGGACCAGAATCTCATCTCCATTACTGTAGTTGCTGGTGACTAGCTGCTACTAGCTCTAACAGGTTCTTTGAACTTCGATGTATAGGGTCTTGCAAACACACGTTTTTAGCTTTGCATGGGTTTATTCACGCTGTTTTGCTCAAAAAATATCAACAAATCTTGAAACCGTTTACTGTAACAACCCAACGATGGGAAAAGGCAGTGAAGCAATGGTTTTTCTCTCATGATGGTTATCCGTTTAAAATGAGTCGGACAGGCTTCGCCCAGTCCTGGTTCTTCAACAGTCGCTTTGCCAGCATAGGTACTATGCCCGAGCACCCAAAGAAGCAGGCAGCCCGATGCACTGCTTGTGCATTTCAGCGACACAAAGTGAAACGCCTTGCTTGCAGGTGGCTTGGCAAGGAAGACGGGAATCATTTCCCCGCGCTGTGATGCAGTTGCCCTGTGCAAGCAAGCTGCCGCGTATGCATCGCGCATTTGCCACTCAGCTTGCTTTTGGATCGTTGGTTGTTTGCACAATACAGTCTGCGCCGTCTGCGCTCGCATTCTGAGAAGACCATCTCTACCAAGGAAAATAGGCCGAACAGTATTATGTGATGTGTCTCATGGACTCTCATTGACTCATGGATCACACAGCGATGCAGATGAGGCCAGTTACACACTGGTCAGCTTCCCGTTGTCCTCTATGACAACTACGAGGACCCGATAGGACTCGCTTCTTTTGGCCTTACTGGATCCAGCTGTTGAGTTCCAATGTTTCGGCAGGCTGGAAAAGGAGCTTGCCTACCAGACTCACCATGCTACTTCAGTGCCTGAGCATGAAGCAGCTCTTAACAGCTCTGACATTCGGGTGTTGCTATGCATATATCAATATTATATCCATATTATATCCATATTATATCCATATTATATCCATATTATAGAATGGGCTAGCGCCCAGGTGCCGCCGACCCCCCTCTATTTGGGCGGCACTGTGGGGAGAGAGAGAGAGAGAGAGAGACAGAGAGGGAGAGGGAGAGGGAGAGATGGATGGATGGATGGATGGATGGATAGATCGATAGATAGACAGACAGACAGACAGGTAGACATGTGAATAGATAGAGAGATTGACAGACAGACAGATGGGTGGAGGGTTTGGAAGGTTTTGGAAGGTTTGGAGCGTTTGCGGGCGGGCAAACGGCAGCTTTGAAAGCCCATAGAAAGCCATTGCTGTGGCCTTGGCCCTGGGGTGCCTGTTTGAGAAGTGGCCTTGGCCCTGGGGTGCCTGTTGGGGAAGTGGCCTTGGCCCGGGGGTGCCTGCTGGGGAAGGTGTTTGGAGGGTTTGGAAGGGTGTTTGGAGGGTTTGGAAGATTTTGGAGGGTTTGGAGGGTTTGGAGGGTTTTGGAGGGTGTTTGGAGGGTTTGGAGGGTTTTGGAGCGTTTGGAGTGTTTGCGGGCTGGCAAACGGCAGCTTTGAAAGCCAATAGAAAGCCATTGCTGTGGCCTTGGCCCTGGGGTGCTTGTTTGAGAAGTGGCCTTGGCCCTGGGGTGCCTGTTGGGGAAGGTGTTTGGAGGGTTTGGAGGGTTTTGGAGGGTTTGGAGGGTTTTGGAAGGTTTGGAGTGTTTGCGGGCTGGCAAACGGTACCTTTGAAAGCAATGCTGCGGCCTTGGCCCTGGGGTGCCTGTTGGGGAAGTGGCCTTGGCCCTGGGGTGCCTGCTGGGGAGGGTGTTTGGAGGGTTTGGAGGGTTTTGGAGGGTTTGGGAGTTTTGGAGGGTGTTTGGAGGGTTTGGAAGGTTGTTTGGAGGGTTTGGAGGGTTTTGGAGGGTTTGGAGGGTTTTAGAGGGTTTGGAGGGTTTTGGAGCGTTTGGAGTGTTTGCGGGCTGGCAAACGGCAGCTTTGAAAGCCAATAGAAAGCCATTGCTGTGGCCTTGGCCCTGGGGTGCCTGGTTGAGAAGTGGCCTTGGCCCTGGGGTGCCTGTTGAAGAAGGTGTTTGGAGGGTTTGGAGGGTTTTGGCTTGGAAGGTTTTGGAGGGTTTGGAGGGTTTGGAGGGTTTTGGAGGGTTTGGATGGTTTTGGAGCGTTTGGAGTGTTTGCGGGCTGGCAAACGGCAGCTTTGAAAGCCAATAGAAAGCCATTGCTGTGGCCTTGGCCCTGGGGTGCTTGTTTGAGAAGTGGCCTTGGCCCTGGGGTGCCTGTTGGGGAAGGTGTTTGGAGGGTTTGGAGGGTTTTGGAGGGCTTGGAAGGTTTTGGAGGGTTTGGAGGGTTTGAATGGTTTTGGAGGGTGTTTGGAGGGTTGGGAGGGTTTTGGAGGGTTTGGAGGGTTTTGGAGCGTTTGGAGTGTTTGCGGGCTGGCAAACGGCAGCTTTGAAAGCCAATAGAAAGCCATTGCTGTGGCCTTGGCCCTGGGGTGCTTGTTTGAGAAGTGGCCTTGGCCCTGGGGTGCCTGTTGGGGAAGGTGTTTGGAGGGTTTGGAGGGTTTTGTAGGGTGTTTGGAGGGTTTGGAGGGTTTTGGAAGGGAGGGTTTGGAGGTTTTGGAAGGTTTTGGAGGGTGTTTGGAGGGTTTTGGAGCGTTTGGAGTGTTTGCGGGCTGGCAAACGGCAGCTTTGAAAGCCAATAGAAAGCCATTGCTGTGGCCTTGGCCCTGGGGTGCTTGTTTGAGAAGTGGCCTTGGCCCTGGGGTGCCTGTTGGGGAAGGTGTTTGGAGGGTTTGGAGGGTTTTGGAGGGCTTGGAAGGTTTTGGAGGGTGTTTGGAGGGTTTGGACAGCTGGCAAACGGTACCTTTGAAAGCCCATAGAAAGCTATGCTGCGGCCTTGGCCCTGGGGTGCCTGTTGGGGGAGTGGCCTTGGCCCTGGGGTGCCTGCTGGGGAGGGTGTTTGGAGGGTTTGGAGGGTTTTGGAGGGTGTTTGGAGGGTTTGGAGGGTTTTGGAGGGTTTGGACGGTTTTGGAATGTTTGGGGCGTTTGCGGGCTGGCAAACGGTACCTCTGAAAGCCCATAGAAAGCTATGCTTGGCCCTGGGGTGCCTGTTGGGGAAGTGGCCTTGGCCCGGGGAGGGTGTTTGGAGGGTTTTGGAGGGTTTTGGCGGGTGTTTGGAGGGTTTGGAAGGTTTTGGAGGGTTTGGATGGTTTTGGATGGTGTTTGGAGAATTTGAGAGTTTTGGATGGTTTGGAGGGTTTTGGAGGATGTTTGGAGGGTGTTTGGAAGGTTTTGGAGGGTTTGGAGGGTTTTGGAGGGTGTTTTGAGGGTTTGGAGGGTTTTGGAGGGTTTGGAGGGTTTTGGAGCGTTTGGAGTGTTTGCGGGCTGGCAAACGGTACCTTTGAAAGCCCATAGAAAGCTATGCTGCGGCCTTGGCGCTGGGGTGCCTGTTGGGGAAGTGGCCTTGGCCCTCAATTGCCTGCTGGGGAAGGTGTTTGGAGGGTTTGGAGGGTTTTGGAGGGTGTTTGGAAGGGTTTGGAGGGTTTGGAGGGTTTTGGAGGGTGTTTGGAGGGTTTGGAGGGTTTTGGAGGGTTTGGATGGTTTTGGAGCGTTTGGAGTGTTTGCGGGCTGGCAAACGGCAGCTTTGAAAGCCAATAGAAAGCCATTGCTGTGGCCTTGGCCCTGGGGTGCTTGTTTGAGAAGTGGCCTTGGCCCTGGGGTGCCTGTTGGGGAAAGTGTTTGGAGGGTTTTGGTGGGTTTGGAGGGTTTTGGAAGGTGTTTGGAGGGTTTGGAGGGTTTTGGAGGGTTTGGATGGTTTTGGAGCGTTTGGAGGCTGGCAAACGGCAGCTTTGAAAGCCAATAGAAAGCCATTGCTGTGGCCTTGGCCCTGGGGTGCCTGATTGAGAAGTGGCCTTGGCCCTGGGGTGCCTGTTGGGGAAGGTGTTTGGGAGGGTTTGGAGGGTTTTGAAGGGGGTTGGAGGGTTTGGAAGGTTTTGGAGGGTTTGGAAGGTTTGGAGGGTGTTTGGAGGGTTTGGAAGGTTTTGGAGGGTTTGGAGGGTTTGGCGGGTTTTGGAGGGTGTTTGGAGGCTTTCGAGGGTTTTGGAGGGTTTGGATGGTTTTGGAGCGTTTGGAGTTTTTGTGGGCTGGCAAACGGCAGCTTTGAAAGCCAATAGAAAGCCATTGCTGTGGCCTTGGCCCTGGGGTGCCTGATTGAGAAGTGGCCTTGGCCCTGGGGTGCCTGTTGGGGGAAGGTGTTTGGAGGGTTTTGGAGGGTTTGGAGGGTTTTGGAGGGTGTTTGGAGGGTTTGGACGGTTTTGGGGTGTTTGGAGGGTTTTGGAGCGTTTGGAGCGTTTGCGGGCTGGCAAACGGCAGCTTTGAAAGCCAATAGAAAGCCATTGCTGTGGCCTTGGCCCTGGGGCGCTTGTTTGAGAAAGCCTTAGCCCTGGGGTGCCTGTTGGGGAAGGTGTTTGGAGGGTTTGGAGGGTGTTTGGAGGGTTTGGAGGGTATTGGAGGGTTTGGAGGGTTTTGGAGCGTTTGGAGTGTTTGCGGGCTCGCAAACGGTACCTTTGAAAGCCCATAGAAAGCTATGCTGCGGCCTTGGCCCTGGGGTGCCTGTTGGGGAAGTGGCCTTGGCCCTGGGGTGCCTGCTGGGAGGGTGTTTGGAGGGTTTGCGAGTTTTGGAGGGTTTGGAGGGTTTTTTGGCGTTTGGAGGGTTTTGGAGGGTGTTTGGAGGGTTTGGAGGGTTTTGGAGCGTTTGGAGCGTTTGCGGGCTGGTAAACGGCAGCTTTGAAAGCCTCAGAAAGCCATTGCTGTGGCCTTGGCCCTGGGGTGCCTGTTCGGGAAGTGGCCTTGGCCCTGGGGTGCCTGCTGGGGACGGTGTTTGGAGGGTTTGGAAGGTTTTGGAGGGTTTGGAGGGTTTGGAAGGTTTTGGAAGGTTTGGAAAGCCCATAGAAAGCCATTGCTGTGGCCTTGGCCCTGGGGTGCCTGTTTGAGAAGTGGCCTTGGTGTGCCTGTTGGGGAAGTGGCCTTGGCCCTGGGGTGCCTGCTGGGGAAGGTGTTTGGAGGGTTTGGAAGTTTTTGGAGGGTTTGGAGGGTTTTGGAGGGTGTTTGGAGGGTTTGGAAGGTTTTGGAGGGTTTGGAGGGTTTGGAGGGTTTTGGAGGGTGTTGAAGGTGTTTGGAGGGTTTTGGAGGGTTTGGAGGGTTTTGGAGGGTGTTTGGAGGGTTTGGACGGTTTTGGGCTGTTTGGAGGGTTTTGGAGCGTTTGGAGCGTTTGCGGGCTGGCAAACGGCAGCTTTGAAAGCCAATAGAAAGCCATTGCTGTGGCCTTGGCCCTGGGGCGCTTGTTTGAGAAGTGGCCTTAGCCCTGGGGTGCCTGTTGGGGAAGGTGTTTGGAGGGTTTGGATGGTTTTGGAGGGTTTGGATGGTTTTGGAGGGTGTTTGGAGGGTTTGGACGGTTTTGGAGTGTTTGCGGGCTCGCAAACGGTACCTTTGAAAGCCCATAGAAAGCTATGCTGCGGCCTTGGCCCTGGGGTGCCTGTTGGGGAAGTGGCCTTGGCCCTGGGGTGCCTGCTGGGAGGGTGTTTGGAGGGTTTGCGAGTTTTGGAGGGTTTGGAGGGTTTTTTGGCGTTTGGAGGGTTTTGGAAGGTGTTTGGAGGGTTTGGAGGGTTTTGGAGCGTTTGGAGCGTTTGCGGGCTGGTAAACGGCAGCTTTGAAAGCCTCAGAAAGCCATTGCTGTGGCCTTGGCCCTGGGGTGCCTGTTCGGGAAGTGGCCTTGGCCCTGGGGTGCCTGCTGGGGACGGTGTTTGGAGGGTTTGGAAGGTTTTGGAGGGTTTGGAGGGTTTGGAAGGTTTTGGAAGGTTTGGAAAGCCCATAGAAAGCCATTGCTGTGGCCTTGGCCCTGGGGTGCCTGTTTGAGAAGTGGCCTTGGGGTGCCTGTTGGGGAAGTGGCCTTGGCCCTGGGGTGCCTGCTGGGGAAGGTGTTTGGAGGGTTTGGAAGTTTTTGGAGGGTTTGGAGGGTTTTGGAGGGTGTTTGGAGGGTTTGGAAGGTTTTGGAGGGTTTGGAGGGTTTGGAGGGTTTTGGAGGGTGTTTGGAGGGTTTTGGAGGGTTTGGAGGGTTTTGGAGCGTTTGGAGTGTTTGCGGGCTGGCAAACGGCAGCTTTGAAAGCCAATAGAAAGCCATTGCTGTGGCCTTGGCCCTGGGCTGCTTGTTTGAGAAGTGGCCTTGGCCCTGGGGTGCCTGTTGGGGAAGGTGTTTGGAGGGTTTGGAGGGTGTTTGGAGGGTGTTTGGAGGGTTTGGAGGGTGTTTGGAGGGTTTGGAGGGTTTTGGAGGGTTTGGAGGGTTTTGGAGGGTTTGGAGGGTTTGCGGGCTGGCAAACGGTACCTTTGAAAGCCCATAGAAAGCTATGCTGCGGCCTTGGCCCTCGGGTGCCTGTTGGGGAAGTGGCCTTGGCACTGGGGTGCCTGCTGGGGAGTGTGTTTGGAGGGTTTGGAGGGTTTTGGAGGGTTTTGGAGGGTTTTGGAGGGTGTTTGGAGGGTTTGGAATGTTCTGGAGGGTTTGGAGGGTTTGGAGGGCTTTGGAGGGTGTTTGGAGAGTTTGGAGGGTTTTGGCGGGTTTGGAGGGTTTGGAAGGTTTTGGAGGGTTTGCGGGCTGGCAAACGGCAGCTTTGAAAGCCAATAGAAAGCCATTGCTGTGGCCTTGGAGCTGGGGTGCTTGTTTGAGAAGTGGCCTTGGCCCTGGGGTGCCTGTTGGGGAAGGTGTTTGGATGGTTTTGGAGGGTTTGGATGGTTTTGGAGGGTGTTTGGAGGGTTTGGACGGTTTTGGAGGGTTTGGAGGGTTTTGGAGCGTTTGGAGTGTTTGCGGGCTGGCAAACGGCAGCTTTGAAAGCCAATAGAAAGCCATTGCTGTGGCCTTGGCCCTGGGGTGCCTGCTGGGGACGGTGTTTGGAGGGTTTGGAAGGTTTTGGAGGGTTTGGAGGGTTTGGAAGGTTTTGGAAGGTTTGGAGCGTTTGCAGCGGGGCAAACGGCAGCTTTGAAAGCCCATAGAAAGCCATTGCTGTGGCCTTGGCCCTGGGGTGCCTGTTGGGGAAGTGGCCTTGGCACTGGGGTGCCTGCTGTGGAAGGTGTTTGGAGGGTTTGGAAGGTTTTGGAGGGTTTGGAGGGTTTGGAAGGTTTTGGAAGGTTTGGAGCGTTTGTGGGCGGGCAAACGGCAGCTTTGAAAGCCATTGCTGTGGCCTTGGCCCTGGGGTGCCTGTTTGAGAAGTGGCCTTGGCCCTGGGGTGCCTGTTGGGGAAGTGGCCTTGGCCCTGGGGTGCCTGCTGGGGAAGGTGTTTGGAGGGTTTGGAGGGTTTTGGAGGGTTTGGGAGTTTTGGAGGGTGTTTAAAGGGTTTGCAAGGTTTTGGAGGGTTTGGAGGGTTTTGGAGGGTGTTTGGAGGGTTTGAGGTGTTTTGGAGGGTTTGGAGGGTTTTGGAGCGTTTGGAGTGTTTGCGGGCTGGCAAACGGCAGCTTTGAAAGCCAATAGAAAGCCATTGCTGTGGCCTTGGCCCTGGGGTGCTTGTTTGAGAAGTGGCCTTGGCCCTGGGGTGCCTGTTGGGGAAGGTGTTTGGAGGGTTTGGAGGGTGTTTGGAGGGTTTGGAGGGTCTTGGAGCGTTTGGATGGTTTGCGGGCTGGCAAACGGTACCTTTGAAAGCCCATAGAAAGCTATGCTGCGGCCTTGGCCCTGGGGTGCCTGTTGGGGAAGTGGCCTTGGCCCTGGGGTGCCTGCTGGGGAGTGTGTTTGGAGGGTTTTGGAGGGTTTGGGAGTTTTGGAGGGTGTTTGGAGGGTTTGGAAGGTTTTGGAGGGTTTGGAGGGTTTGGATGGTTTTGGAGGGTGTTTGGAGGGTTTGGAGGGTTTTGGAGGGTTTGGATGGTTTTTGGAGCGTTTGGAGTGTTTGCGGGCTGGCAAACGGCAGCTTTGAAAGCCAATAGAAAGCCATTATTGCTGTGGCCTTGGCCCTGGGTTGCTTGTTTGAGAAGTGGCCTTGGCCCTGGGGTGCCTGTTGGGGAAGGTGTTTGGAGGGTTTGGTGGGTTTTGGAGGGTTTGGAGGGTTTTGGAGGGTGTTTGGAGGGTTTGGACGGTTTTGGAGGGTTTGCGGGCTGGCAAACGGTACCTTTGAAAGCCCATAGAAAGCTATGCTGCGGCCTTGGCCCTGGGGTGCCTGTTGGGGGAGTGGCCTTGGCCGTGGGGTGCCTGCTGGGGAAGGTGTTTGGAGGGTTTGGAAGGTTTTGGAGGGTTTGGAGGGTTTTGGAGGGTGTTTGGAGGGAGGGTTTGGAGGTTTTGGAGGGCTTTGGAAGGTGTTTGGAGGGTTTTGGAGGGTTTGGAGGGTTTTGGAGCGTTTGGAGTGTTTGCGGGCTGGCAAACGGCAGCTTTGAAAGCCAATAGAAAGCCATTGCTGTGGCCTTGGCCGTGGGGTGCCTGCTGGGGACGGTGTTTGGAGGGTTCGGAAGGTTTTGGCGGGTTTGGAGGGTTTGGAGGGTTTTGGAGCGTTTGGAGGGTTTGCGGGCTGGCAAACGGTACCTTTGAAAGCCCATAGAAAGCTATGCTGCGGCCTTGGCCCTGGGGTGCCTGTTGGGGAAGTGGCCTTGGCCCTGGGGTGCCTGCTGGGGAGGGTGTTTGGAGGGTTTGGAGGGTTTTGGAGGGTTTTGGAGGGTTTGGGAGTTTTGGAGGGTGTTTGGAGGGTTTGGAAGGTTTTGGAGGGTTTGGAGGGTTTGGAGGGTTTGGAGGGTGTTTGGAGGGTTTGGAGGGTTTTGGAGGGTTTGGAAGGTTTTGGAGGGTTTGCGGGCTGGCAAACGGCAGCTTTGAAAGCCAATAGAAAGCCATTGCTGTGGCCTTGGCCCTGGGGTGCTTGTTTGAGAAGTGGCCTTGGCCCTGGGGTGCCTGTTGGGGAAGGTGTTTGGAGGGTTTGGAGGGTTTTGGAGGGTTTGGAGGGTTTTGGAGGGTGTTTGGAGGGTTTGGAAGGTTTTGGAGGGTTTGCGGGCTGGCAAACGGTACCTTTGAAAGCCCATAGAAAGCTATGCTGCGGCCTTGGCCCTGGGGTGCCTGTTGGGGAAGTGGCCTTGGCCCTGGGGTGCCTGCTGGGGAGGGTGTTTGGAGGGTTTGGAGGGTTTTGGAGGGTGTTTGGAGGGTTTGGAAGGTTTTGGAGGGTTTGGAGGGTGGAGGGTGGTCCGACAGGACAAGTTCCACACCTGCGGTGGTCCCAGGCGCCGCCCCAGCCTTGGCGAAGGCCGGGGTCGGCGGATATATATTATATTACACATATTACACGCAATTGATGAGTTTTGTGTTCATTACACAAGAGTCACTAGATGTCACTAGAATTTTGTCGATTTGCTGTATGTATTTGCCTGCAATGCTTCGTTCGACCAACTGTCCAGCATCGTGGTATTTCTCAGGCTACATTCCCGGCTATTTGCGGTACATCATGGTTGAAGTGTTGAAGAACAGCTTCAAAGCGACGCTCGCAGGGGCCACTGCTGCGGAGATTGCAGAGAGACCTATTCACGTGCTGATTTGTCAATGGCTCAGCAACTTCTGCTGACAAGAGTTTTTCAGACAAGTGTCTCCAAGAAAGAGTTCAACCAACGTGAGCCTTCAAAATACCACTATCCGATCCCGTTATACCGGTTGGTTGATAGGCATCCGTACCATGACTCCCCTAAAAAAAAAACAGCGGTATTTTTGATGGTTCACTTGGCATTGTTCCGGATGTGCTGATTGCTACTAGTATGTTGACAGGCCGTGATGAGTGCCACGTTGCTATTCGCGTCAGCGACCGTGCGGGTGGCATCCCTTCAGATGTGGGAGATCGTATATGGTTTGAGTCTTAGAGTGTGACAATGGACGAAGTCAGCAGAACAATAGTTTCAGTAGTTGGCTCATGTCATTTGCAACATTTGCATACGCATACTATTACTAATTATCCATAATTATCCTATATTGATCAAGGATGTACTATTCCCCGGCTTTTCAAGGGAAACTCTACATGACCCCGAATTGTTGGTAGGAAAATGTAGGAAACACATGGAAACACGGTCTTGGAAGATTTTCCCAAGCAAATCCCATTGGCCCAGCGCCCAGGTCCTACTTGTATGGAGCCGCGGCTCGTGGAGCCGACGAGGGGGCCGCCACCCCTTTGGCAGGCTATGGAGTTGGTTGCTGGGCAGCAAAGCTACGACCTGGGAATTCAAATGTCATTTCTATATAATTTATATAATCTACGAATATAGTTTAGTACACACTTAATTACAATACAATATGTCTTTTGTTTTGCATGTTTGTTTTTATGTTTTGCTTGAACATGATGGAACCTGGGACACTTCAGACCCTTGCCAGAATGTGAGTGCATTCAAGTTGTGTGAGGCCTCCCGGTTTCCAGATTGCATGCTCGATACTTGGGTGGTCAGCTCCAACTCACAACATATCCAGGCCGGAAGATGGCCACAGAAAAACCATGGAAAAGCATGGCTCAGAAACAGGGACTGCAACGGACTGCAAGGGACTGCAAGGGACTGCAAGGGACTGCAAGTCTGCAAGACATTTTTTTTTTTTGCCAGGATTTGGTACTGACGTGTGTGTGCGACTTCCTCGCATCACAAGTGAGCAGGTGGAAGAAATTGAGATTTAAATAGAATTGCATCGCCCGTGTGGTGGCTGGAATGCTGGGTTTGCACATTGTACAGCCACTCTTTCAGTGCCCGGCCACTGGATGGAGCAAAAGGAGAGCCAATGGAGCGCTTCCATGGCTTCATTCGGCTCCCTAACGCTTGAGTCAAAACTCAAGCCTGTTGTGGCTTTGCGCTTGGAAAGGTGGAACAAGTCTGGCAACAGTGCAAGCACCTGGAAGTGGCACGGAACTTGTGAAATCTCACTCTCGTGATCTCGTGAACAACTTCTGTGCGGAGGACAGAGGTGCAAGTGGTGCTTGCTTGAAGGCAGGATGCTAGTGTGCTATCAGTCCTAGGGTGATTGGTTGCAAGCCTATGATCAGGCGACCTTGATTTTGAGCGGCTACATCCTTATTTGGGCACCGTTCGACACGCAGAAAACGCTGATTTGTGACAGCAAAGTCAAGCTTTTACTCGCAAGGTGTGGACACAGCTGAGTTCGAGCCACCTTTCCCAGTGAAGCAGGTTGCAACATGGCAGCACAAGATCGCTTGTCAATGCCAGGTACATAGTCATTCAATTCAGCAGTCAATCCAGTCCCATAGTGGTGGTTCTGCGGTCTTTGGCTTAGGCACCTCCACCGCTTCATGGGGGAGCAGACCGTCGGTCTCCTTGGAGCTTGGAATTCTGGCTGGAGGCCACTAGTTGAGTTCACCATCATGATCTAGTATGTACTGAATCAAAATGAATTAATCTCATCTACGAATCTGTTCATGCTAGAGAACCGGATTGGTAACACTCTCTTCCAGGCCGATCAAAGAGCCGTGCCCGCTGCCAACGATGCTTCACATAGAGTGGAATGGCGGCCTTGGCAAGCAGATCAATTGCAGAGTGACCTGCAGTGGCAAGAAGCAGATTTGCAGCTTGCCCAGATGGCAGGCATTCAGAACACCGGTCAAGGGCTAGCTTTGTGCACCTGGCAATTCCCAGCAACAGTGCAATCGCCGAACCTGCCAGATGCTGTGCAGTTCCGAGTACGAAAGATTGACTTGGATAGCCCCGTCAAGGGTGGGGCTAGCAGCAGAACATGGTTGTCGCAGATCTCTGGCCTTTATGCCACAGCATTTGCGGCGCCTGAAAAGCCAAGAGCATCGTTGCTCGTGGATCAGGACTTAAAACGCTTAAAAGTTGTCCTGGCCTTTGCTCTCTCGTCTGACTCTCCTTCCGAGAGACCGACAAATTCTTTGAAGTCAGGAGAGTCAGGACATGTGCATGGCCTGGTGACACGGATTCAAGTTTCATATCGTCAAGCTGGTGATTCCCATATCGATGAGGTCAGAGAGTTGAAACCACAAAACCTTACCGCCGTGTCTATGAATGACGGCCTTGGCACGTTGAAGATCAGTGTGTCGCAGCCGCAGTTCCTCGATGGACAGCGGATCCTGTTTGCTGTTCGAGTTGGCGACGATTGGCGATGGTCCCACTGGAGCAGCTTCAGCAAGCCAGTGCATGTCGAGTACTCAGATTTATTCAAGATGCCTTTGGAAAAGAATAGGTCATTTTTTTTCTAGGTGGGCTCGCACAGAACCTGGGGACTCCTGCGGACCTTTGTCTAGTGTTCATTCAGCTTTCGATCTTTGCCTGACCTTTTCTTGCTTTCTTGATTCAATAGTAAGTTTGCTTCTAGCTTGTGATTTCCATTTGCCGTCATGAAATGAAGTCTTTCTCTTGGCAACAATTCCCTCAAAGCTATCGCTGCAAAAGATTGATGGACCGTGTGTTCTCCCTTCAAGTTTCTGCCGCAACTTAGATGAAGCATCCGATTCTGCAGCCTGCGAAAGATCATGGCCTTGTTGTTAAGCCTCTTTCTCCAGCCAAAATCTCAGTTCGGGGTTTCGGGTTTCTGGGTTTGACTTTAGTTTCAGAATTGAGCACAAGACAGGACATGGTGTGGTTGCACTACCCAAGTGCGGCTCTCAGCTTGGGACACGCATTCTCGTGGTCTCTGGTAGCCCTGCATCCCGAATGTGCTGCAGGTGTGGCCACAGACACCGCGGAGGTGATTGAATACTTCATTAGTGTGGCCCAGTTGGGACCGACAGGGCGAGAGGCCGGTTGCAGAGACGGATCTGAAATTTGATCTTCCGATGCAGAAAAGACAGGAATCCTAAGATGATCCCAAGATGTGTTTGTGAAAACTTCATCAGTGCATAATGACGCAGAAAACCACGAGAAATGCACTTCCAATTTCCTGTCAAGGTGAGATCCAGCTCCCAGCTGATTGCTTTGCAAGCGGAGCAGAACCCAAAGAGAGATGCAGGAGCTGATTGCTGAAGTTCAGTGCCATTTTTTGTTGGACTATCAGTGCACTTCTGCAGTGTTTGAATTTATTTGATATTATTTGCATAATTAATCATCATTAAAGAAGTCCGTGCGGTGCCCTTGGAGGTAACGAGATGGAGGTCTACGTTGGGAGCCTGCGCGTCGGTGTGTCACTGCAGTTCAAGCTGCTAGCCCGCAGCCAGTGCCACCAGTTGGGCGCACCAATTTTCCAAGAAATGGCCCGAAGTGATCCCATCCTTTGGCCCAGCTGGTCCCGTGCATCATGCGATGCCAATGTCGCCAATGCCGAATCCTGGGATCTGCCAATCCCTCGGGTGCTCTGTGTGCCGGAGCTGGAAGCAACAAGTGGTCGCTGGCGTTCACGCGCCTTGCTGCTGGCGTGGCCCAAGGGAGTACAGGTCTGTGAAGATCCACCCTTGGAGCTCCAAGCATGTGCTTGGCACGAGAAAAATCAGGCTGCCCATGGATCACATCGAGGTGGTGATGAAGGCGATGTAGGTGACCTGAGCGTTATGGATGTGATCGATCCAAATGGCTGGGTTGCAGTGAGCTGGTCTCTGATTCAGGTTCACGGTCTTCCATGCATTGCAGCTTCTCAGCTCCCCTTTAACTGCTGCCGTCTTCGGTGGTACTCGTGTGACCGTCGCATTGCTGGTCCCTGCAGTGAAGTATGCTTGACCTTCATAGACAGTCCAGTGGAGGTGAGGAGCGAGGTGTTTTGCACGATCTCTACAGTGAAGGTTCAGGCTTCCTTTGAAGTTCCTGCATTTGCTCACTTGATCCCTTATTGCCAATGGCGAATTGGATCCGTCAAGGCAAATAGAACAGATGATGGACAGGCATGGAGCGATGTGGAAGAGTGGCAAGTGCTGGATCAGTTGCATATAGCATCATGTTCCAGCGTGACCATCAACGGGCGGCAATCTTTTAAGTGTGTCATGGGAGAAGAGGATGGACTGGAACTGGGCAGTTGCTACGTCTTCAGCGTCCGACTTGGCGATGGTCGCCGCTCCTCCTTATGGTCACAATCTGCACCAGTGATGCTACGGCCTGAGAAATTCCGAAGCTTGAGATTCCTTGAAATTCCTTGACATTCCTTGAGATTCCTTGAAATTCCTTGAGATTCCTTGAGATTCCTTGAGATTCCTTGAGATTCCTTGAGAGTCCTTGAGATTCCTTGAGATTCCTTGAGATTCCTTGAGATTCCTTGAGATTCCTTGAGAGTCCTTGAGTTTCCTTGAGATTCCTTGAGTTTCCTTGAGGTTCCTTGAGATTCCTTGAGATTCCTTGAGATTCCTTGAGTTTCCTTGAGATTCCTTGAGATTCCTTGAGATTCCTTGAGATTCCTTGAAATTCCTTGAGATTCCTTGAGATTCCTTGAGATTCCTTGAGATTCCTTGAAATTCCTTGAGATTCCTTGAGATTCCTTGAGATTCCTTGAGTTTCCTTGAGATTCCTTGAAATTCCTTGAGAGTCCTTGAGATTCCTTGAGATTCCTTGAGTTTCCTTGAGATTCCTTGAAATTTCTTGAGATTCCTTGAGATTCCTTGAAATTCCTTGAGATTCCTTGAGATTCCTTGAGATTCCTTGAGATTCCTTGAGATTCCTTCCTTGAGATTCCCTTGAGATTCCCTTGGGGTTCCCTTGAGATTCCCTTGGGATTCCCTTGAGATTCCCTTGATATTCCTTGAGATTCCTTGAGATTCCTTGAGATTCCTTGAGATTCCTTGAGATTCCTTGAGATTCCTTAAGATTCCTTGGGATTCCTTGAGATTCCTTGAGATTCCTTGAGATTCCTTGAGATTCCTTGAGATTCCTTGAGTTTCCTTGAGTTTCCTTGAGATTCCTTGAGTTTCCTTGAGATTCCTTGAGTTTCCTTGAGTTTCCTTGAGATTCCTTGAGATTCCTTGAGATTCCTTGAGATTCCTTGAGAGTCCTTGAGTTTCCTTGAGATTCCTTGAAATTCCTTGAGGTTCCTTGAGATTCCTTGAGATTCCTTGAGATTCCTTGAGATTCCTTGAGATTCCTTGAAATTCCTTGAGATTCCTTGAGATTCCTTGAGATTCCTTATTGGGATTCCTTGAAATTCCTTGAGATTCCTTGAGATTCCTTGAGATTCCTTGAGATTCCTTGAAATTCCTTGAGATTCCTTGAGATTCCTTGAAATTCCTTGAGATTCCTTGAGATTCCTTGAGATTCCTTGAGATTCCTTGAGATTCCTTGAATTCCCTTGAGATTCCCTTGAGATTCCCTTGGGATTCCCTTGGGGTTCCCTTGAGATTCCCTTGCGATTCGCTTGAGATTCCCTTGAGATTCCCTTGAGATTCCCTTGAGGTTCCTTTGAGATTCCTTGAGATTCCCTTGGGATTCCCTCGAGATTCCCTTGAGATTCCCTTGGGATTCCCTTGAGATTCCCTTGGGATTCCCTTGAGATTCCCTTGAGGTTCCTTGAGATTCCCTTGAGATTCCCTTGGGATTCCCTTGAGATTCCCTTGAGGTTCCTTGATGTTCCTTGAGTTTCCTTGAGATTCCCTTGAGATTCGCTTGAGATTCCCTTGAGATTCCCTTGAGGTTCCATTGGGATTCCCTTGAGGTTCCTTGAGAT